TGAGCCTTCACCATATAATTTCCCCATTAAATTATTGAAAAATGGAACATCTGAAATGATGTCCCATAATCTGTGCATTTGGTTGTGTGCAGTGTAAACCGAATTGTCCCGCTGATGCATAAAACATCAACAATGCGATGGCCAAAACCCAAAACACCGAACCGGCCGGCCCCCGTTCCGACCATCATGTGCCCCTCTCTGGGGCCTGGCTTGCCTGCCTGGCAAAAGAAGCGCAAAATAAACGCCAAAAACAACAGCAATAACAGCAAAGAGGCACCAATAATAAAAGCAACAAATATTATGTCTTTTGGCAACGTTTTTCATACTCGAACTCAAACTCGAACTCCACTTTCAGCCAGCGGCAGGCAGCGGGCGGTAGGAGGCGCCCAGGCAGGCAGGCAGGCAGCAGGCAGAAACGAAGCCACGAACTCCTCATAGCCGGAGTGCGGTACGAGTGAGCGCGCTTACAAACATGGTCATAATCACGCGTTAAATTAATGAGTTTAAATGCTATTTTTGGCCTTAACTATTGCAGCCACACACACAGACACGTTTAATTGAAGCCAAGCGAAGGCAGCCACACAGCCTCAGTCGCAGTCTCAGTCTCAGTCTCAGTCTCAGTCTGTGCCTCAGTTGCAGCCACTCCAATTCCGACGACGACTTCAGCTGCAACTTGGCCAGGCGACTTCGTCTCTTTTCGCAAATTATGAGAGACTCGGCAGCCAAGTTCAGGCTCAGGCTCAGGCTCAAGCTCAGTCTCAGGCTTTGGGCCAACCGGCTCAGCGCTTGGCTATATTACATTTATTTTAATGCCAAACTGCAACTCCAGCTGCAGTCCTGCTGCAGTCCACATGGCCGGTGGGCATGGATTTTCCCTCCCATCGCGACCAGAGCTGGCCCAAATCGCGTTTCGCTAATTATTAACTCATCGGCAACCCGCAACCCCCCTCAATGCGATGCCCATCGATGGTCTGTAAGGTCAATGCAGATGTGGCAGAAACCTTTTGTGGTGGGAAGGAAACCATGTGGCATATGACTAAGGAAAGGTCAAGAGGCCTGTCAATGGGCCAGCGCTTAGGTGTTGCACTGTGATTCATGCGAGTATGTGCCACATACCCCCACCGTTGGTTAAATATTATATGAGCAAATAGATAAATGATTCAGATGCAGATTGAAAGTGATGGCTACAAATGGCGGTGGTCGGTGGTCGGTGGTCGTTGGTCGTTGGTCGAGCGCTGTGCAAATTATGAATAATGTCTGCCAATTATTGGCTTGTCATAATATACTTGTTTAGTGGGTGAAATAATCGTACGTAGAAGTGGGCAACAGATGGTGCCTTGTTGATGCTGTCGATTATCACGCAATAGAAAATTTCCTTTAATTTGCGATATTTAAAAGCTGCAACCCCAAAAGGGGTCCGCCAGAAGCCGGACACTGCAACTGCAACAACCCGTTCGTTCATGTTGTTAATAATTTTTTAATGCCACCATAATTAATACGAAGGCAATTTGCCGTTTGCTGTCTTTTGCGTAAATGAAATGAAATGAAATGAAGGCGAATAAAACGGGTAGGGGGGAAGGTGGAAGTGAGGTAGTTAGAGCCAGTCCCAGATGATTATTGGCATTACGTGAACGTGCATAAGTCGAACTTACTCGGCGATACAATTAATTTATACTTAAACACACACAGCACAGCACAGCACACAAAACCGACCGACAATTTCAATGTTGCATGCAGCTGGCCCCACAAGCCACACTCGTCGCGCTCCCTCTCCCTTGCCATCTCGACACACAAATTGCTTGGTAATTTATTTGCAATTAATTTTGAATTAATATCAACGAAATGTCTGCCAAGGAATTTAGGTCTTGTCTTCTTCTGGCTTCTGGGAATACTTTTCGAGTGGAGACAAAAACCAAAAGAGAATGGCTGCCGGGTGCCACACGAATATTCATATTATTATGGGACTTGCCACAGGATCAAACAACATCAAAACTAGTATTATAAAGATTCTTGCACTTGTGTTACTTCTCATCTCATCACGAAAGGTCTGGCAATTTATCAATTTGCTGACCATTTAAATTAGCCTCTCGCTGGGCGTTCCCCCTCTTGTGTTGGCCCGACAATGGGCCATCTTTTGGCTCATTTGCAGTCAATTTAGCACTCACGTGGTTAGTCATAAAAATATCTGCACAGAACATTCATTTAATAAGCAATTATTGTCTGCTCCTCTTTAAAATCTTTCTGCCTGCTGCCTGCCCGCTGTTGTTGTTGCTGTTGCTGTTGCTGTTGCACATACGCGTCAAGACTTTCAACTAATTACAAACGATTTACATGCAACACAGCTGGGGAGTACGAGTACGCTAACCAGGGCCCACGAAGAACATTGGTAACAAGAACCAGGCCACGGGACGAGACGAGACGAGACGGGACACTGGCCCAGAGCTGGCTGCATACGTCGTAGCGTGGATAATCCCGCTTAAATATTTGCAACATTTAAAGCAAAATGCAGAAACCGGTTGTGGGCAAAACGCCATGATCGTGATGATGATGTTGATGATGTTGATGATGACACTGCAGATGTGAGTCCATACTCACTCCACACTCACTCACACAGGCACACTCACACACCCACGAGCACAGCTGAACAGGCAAATGAAATCCGCTTGGCACGCACGTAGAGGCAGCAACCGCCCGTCCTCCTCCTACTCCTCCTGACTGATTTCCACAGTTCATTGCGCATGCGTGGCATGCCACCAGCAAGCAGCCCCAGCAGCAGCAATAAAAAGGAGTACAATTTGCGATCAGCGTATAATTAGTAAGACTAAATTAGAGCACAAAACGTACCCCGTACTTTCACCGGCTTAGAGGCTTGTCCCGAACAGCCAGCAGCCAGCAGACTGTGGCTCATTAGACGCCTATGACTCACACAGCGGGTTGGCAGCTTTCAAGTGCTGCCGCCTTGGCCCCAAAATACAGCCCGGTACAGCTGCGTAGTCAAGGGGTCCGTGCGCCACTCGGTCCCCTCATAATTAGCTATAATATATCTTTGGACAAGTCAAGCCAAGCGACCTGCTAATGCTTCTGGTTAGTGTATGCAAAGGGTAGATTAACTTAGAGTCGCTAAGGGATTTGCATAAGTGTGCGTACATATTTCCATAGGTATGACACGAAATGGATTCGTTTTCTAGCTACCATTTGGGTTCGAGTGCGGGCATCTTCCCCCGTCAGAAAGTGTATCAGTGCCTCCCGCTTGGCACTTTAATTTTCCTATGGATTATACTTGTGTCTTTATCTTTCTCACATTTTTTTGCTATGGCCTCTAATTCGATTTTTATTGCACCTGGATTTTCTTGTTTTCCACTGCCGCCAATGTACAATTTATTTCTCAGTTGGACATATTTTTTTTCCCCCGATCTGCTCGTATCCGCTCTCTGGCTTACTGTGTGTGTGTGCTGATTATTTTTGCACTTATTACTTGTTGCCTTTGAAGCCCGTTGCTGCTTGCTGCTTGGTTTTTGTTTTTGTTTTTATTTTTATTTTTTAACTTAATTTTCAATAAATGTTGCGCTTGTCTACCGCTGCAGTCGATTACTCATTTGACTGCAAGCACACATAAATTGTAGGCACGTCTTTTTTTCTATTTTTTCCTTATTTTTTATATTTTGATTGCTTTATTTTTTGTTTTTGTTTTTTTTTTTATAATAATTGCTTTTTGCCAGGGCCTCCAAGTAGGGGGAGTAGTGAGCGCCAGCGAGTGCGTGCTGTGTCGTGTGAGCTGATTGTGTCATTACTTATAGAGTGGATCGGATCTGATCGGACACAGAGCGAGCGGGAGTGAGAGGGGGTGACAGAGACAAAGCGCACCAAAAAAATACAAAAAATGCAAACGCGGAGATACTTGAGACCAGAACTGGACCTGAATTGATTTGCTGCTAGAATTGGGTCAACAATTTGCAACTGTTTTGGGATTCCATTGGGACACTGCCTAGGATTTCTGCAACTGCATTTATTTAGCTCTTGAGTTTCAGTTTTCCCAAATATTTCACAATGTTTTTAGAAATTCATTCCATTTAAAAAGTTTACCATAAAATGCCAGACACGCTTCTTGCTTCTTTTGCTGTTCCCTGCTTAAATTTATTGGAACAGACCCATAATTTAGGAATTTTTACGAGCAAAGACAACAGAGAACAATCGCCCAGAGCCCAATGCCAGGCAGAAATTAAAACAAAATAAACTTGAAAATAGAAGTCGCCTTGATCAGCAGATCGCTTTGTGGCTTTTGGGCTTTGGAACTGTAACTGGAGCTGCGGCTGCGGCTGAGGCTGAGGCTGGCTGCTGATTCGCTGCTTAACTATGTGCCTGCCACAAGGCAACAAGCGGCAGTAACCAAAAAAAAAAAAAAGAACTAAAGCAAAAAAAAAAAAACCACGAGAACCAGAGGACATGCGAAATTTTTATTTATTGCTGACAATTGCACAAAAGTTTCTACCGCTTGCCCCTCGCCATCTTCGATCAGTATTTTTATGGTCATTAAAATTGGGACAAAAATATTTTGACCGAGCTCTGAATTTGAGTTTTGTTTCTGGTTTTTGTTGTGTATGTGTGTTGGTCGATCGTTGAACGATTCTAGAGCACGACTCCAGCTGAGAGACGCTGCTGGCGTGGGGGCAAGAGTTTTGAGCTTTGAGCGGCAGTGCTTTGCCCTTGATTGGTGCTGGAGTTGCAACATTCTGGCCTGGCCTGGACTGGACTGGACTGGCAGATTGAACTGATTAGCAGCTGAGTCCAAAGCTGCGACTAATTAATGATCCGTCGCCAAGGCTTTGCATGCTAATTAAATGTGAGTGCCACAAAGTCACCTTTGTCGCGAGAGAGAGAGAGAGAGAGATTTGTGTGAGTGTCTATCCCAATCCTAGAATCTGCTGGGGGCCACTCTATCATATGTTATCGTACAGTTGCTCAATTCAGGAAGGTGGAAATGCAAATGCTCAGCGACTCACCGACTCGGTCTTGATGTTGAGGGTCAGCACATGCGACGAGCTGTTGGATGAGGCCGATGGCGGGGAGCCGGGCGCCACTGCGCCACCAATGCTGCAGGGCGATTGGGCGGCTGTTGTGGCATGCATCAATGGCGATCGACTGTGAGTGGCCAGCGGACTGGCCTCACGCAGCGGACTCGCACCCGTGCCGGTGCCCATGCCCATGCTCATGCCCATGCCCAGGCCCATGCCCAGCTGTGAGTAGGGCGAACCGGGCGACTTGTTGGCATTTGTGGAGCTATTTGAGGGCACTACGGCGGCGGTGGTGGTGCAACTGGTGTGGGTGCTGGTCGCAGAGCTCGACGACGATGAGCTCGAGGAGCAGGACGATGAGGAGGAGGATGAGCTGCTGCTTAGGTTCTTGTTGCTGTTGTTGTTGTGGCTGCCGTTATTGTTGCTGCTGCTGCTGCTGCTGCCAGTGCAAATTAGTGACTGAATTTTGGTATTGTTGTTGTTGCTGTTGTTGTCATTGTTGTTGTTATTGTTGGTAGTACAATTGTTGTTGTTCACACTTGCCCCAGCACCTGGCATCAAGCTGCCATCGCAAAACTCTCGCTTCACAATGTTGTTTGCATTGTTGTTGTTGTTGCTGCTGGCACCGCCACTGCCACCAGGTGTGGCACCAATTGCCGCCTCGCACGGCAGCACCGTGCCCAGCATCTTGTCTAGCGTCGTTGTATACTGTGACGTTGTCGTTTCAGCGGCACCGGCAGAGTCCTCGCAGCCCTCGGCCATGTCACTGTTGCATCGCTCGTTGCATCATGGGCGGGCCACGCCTGCAAGACAACAAAGAAGGGTGTCACACGAAAGCATAACAGCATACATAAAATATACATACACAAATACATAAGTTCATATGTAAAATGTACTCCAAATACCATGGAATGTGCTCCGCTGTCTGACTGTACTTGTGGTTGATATTACTGTAACCCTCTCTACCCTCTACCCTCTTTGTAATTGTAATAGATTCCAATTACAAAGAGCTGGAGAGTCATTCGCATCCTGCCGCGTCCTTCATAATTTAGAATTTACATTTATCGAATAATATTTCGTGCACTTAAAGCCCCTCTACCTCTACCCCTACCCCACTTGCCGCATTAATTTCATTAATTATCCCTGTTGACTCACGTTGCACCACACACACAAACACACATAACAACAAAAACACTGGCGGGTAAGGGGCATGCCACACAGCCCACACAGCCCACACATCACTTTGCAAATGCAAAACGCAACCCGAAGAGTCTGAGGCTGATGCTGAGGCGGAGGCGGAGGCTGGAGTCCACTGCAGTCCGTGCATGTCCGTGTCCATGTCCATGTCCTTGCCAGGCCACGACGACGACGGCGCTCTGCTCTGGACAAGGAACGAATCCTGCCCGAAGGGGCTGCTGGGTGGGGGCAATGGTATGATGGACACAAAGACCGAAACATACGGGTGGTTGCCACAGCAGCATGAAGAACGGAAAGTGCAGGATGTGGGGGCAGACTGCGCACAGTCGTAATCGAAAATTTTACACCTACTCTGCATTATAATTTATACGCCTGGCGGGACAACTGACCAAAGAAGGAGGTGGTTTGTGGCATGGTGGCACTGTGGCAAGAGTGTCTGTGTGTGTGTCTGTGTGTGTGTGTGGCAAGCATGTCTGGCAAGAAAGTTTTCCCTATATACAAGCAGAACCAGAAGGAATACAGCAAGACGGCGAGGGCCGATGGGAAGCATTTATATACGGAAAAAACATTGTTCAAACTGGGAAATTAATCCAGGGGAAGATAAAGACTAGGCAGGGCACTCCTCCTTTTGCTGTAAAGTTTTCGGCACACAGAGATAGGCACGAGCCGAAAGCTTCATCTGTGAAAGCTTCGTTTGTTCAACCCAACTCAAGAATATTCTATGCAAAAATCAACTCATAATCATTGCTCAGCTCGAACACATTCCATTAACTGTCTGGTCTATTACCTTCCTAGAGCATCGAGAGCATCCCTGGGGGTTAAGCTCCCAGCCCAAAGGCGCCTAAATTGTGCCAACAATTTGCACTAAAGAGCTCATAGAACACCATACCTGTCCGGACTGCATCGAATCTCTGCCCCCCACCCTGCAAAGCCCAACTGCCATCTGGAAACAAAGGAAACATCAATGGCAATGCCTTGATATTTGGCTTCCACACACACGCAAACACACAGAAGGCTAGCCGGAAAATTGGGCCTGATTTCAAGAGTGTTTTTGTGTCTCCGTGTGGTTTGGGTGGGTCTATGGATTGGGATTGGAAAACGCACGGGCCTGGGGTTTTGTCTTCGGTTCTTCGTTGCATTGTCTGCAGGTCTACACAAAATGGGCGTTGATTTTAATGCATAATGCATATGGGCTCCTGCTCATTGCCAGTTGCTTCACTCCGCTCCTGTCAGGATCCACTGTCTCTGCCACTTTGTGTGTTGCTGTGGCAGTCGCCTCTGAACTGAGTCGGACTCGTACTCGTACTCGTACTCGGAGTCCAAGTCATACTCGCACTCAAAGCTCTGTAGCTCGGATTCGGTTACTCTGTTCAGGAGGGGTGTGGGGGGGTGTATGTGGGTGGTTGGGTGGCTGGGTGTTGTTGCATGTGTCGACGCTGGCCAGCAGGCAGCAGTCAACGAACGCACTTTTCCGGCCACACAGAGCTGCCTCCATTGCCGTAATGAGCCCAGAAGCATAGCATTCCGGGGGTATCGGGCGAGCGGGGGCGAGAAATGTCGGTGCTGTGCCTTGAAAGTTGGAATGTTGCACTATACTCGTACATGCAATGCCAATGTCTGAGCCAGAGTCACAGTCAGTGGCAGTGGCAGAGGCAGAGGCACAGCCCAAAGCCAGAGGCAAAGCTATAGCCATAGCCCAGGCCCAGGCGCAAGCCCAAGCCCAAGCAATGCCTTCGTTCTGTAGATCGTGTGGCCAGGAAGCAGAAGGATGAGGAGGAGTGGGTAGGCAGATAGGGGTAGGGAGGGGTAGCTGTAGAGGGGGGAGTGTAATAATTAATTTTGCACGTTGCATGCAAATGTCTGGCCATGGCTGGTTCTAGTGTTGGACTCGGGCCCGGGCCCAGGCCCTGGCCCTGGCCCTTCCTTCCACCATGTGGCATAAGCAGCAAAAACAATCCAGGAAAAGCAGCAAAAACCAACAAACAGCAGCAACAGCACAGGGCTGCAACATACAACCAAAAATTATTTCAAGTATGCGTCAACAGAGAATGCCAAACACACTTGTATTGTGTGTGTGGCAGCAGCAGGAGAGGCGCCCCAAAAGACAGCTGCTGCTAATGCTGCAACATGTTGTGAAAGTTTAGACGGCGGGCCACATGGCAACATGGCAACATGGCAACATGCACGGGCAAAATGCAGCGACAAAATGTGCAACCAAATTAAGTACAATTTGCGCATATTAAAAGTCTGGCAAAATTGCATAGGCAGCGGGCAGCGGGCAGCGCCAGCAACATGCAACATGCAACATTTTGTCGCTTCCTGCGCTTGCAGCAGCATCAACTATGAAATCTAATCAATAACTAGGAAACTAGTAGAATTTCATGTAGCACACTAAATAGCACGATTAATTATCGCCATGCCCCGGCGACTATAATTCAAATTGAGTGCGCTTCATTTCCAGTGCAACATGCCCCATCCGCAACATGCACAGGCACAGGCACAGGCACAGGCACAGGCACTGCAGAACACACTGCGAAACCGGTCTAATTATACTCATTTTCTTGGCTGTGTGGTGGCTGCAACATGTGGCACCGCTCGCTGCCAGGCTATAAATTGCAATTTCCATGCAACTTTCTACCAGGCCGATCGCAAAAATTTATCATTCAAAGTCGCCACGAATCGACTTGGTCGGGGATCGCTTTGGATCGAGTTGCATGGCAGCATGGCAGGCGTTTTGTCTTCGACAGCAATTCGTTGGCAATATTCAAATTAATAAAATCATCAATAATTTTGCATGGCATGGGGGGGGCAAAGAAAAAAAAACATGTAGAACATGTTGCTGCTGCTACCGAGACGACTGCTGCTGCTGCTGCTGCTGCTAAGACTTGTTGTAATTAATAGTCAAACTAAATTGTAGCACACTTGCCATCATTTAGAGTTAGGAGAGCCAAATGTGGCACAAAGCAATTTTTGATTAGAAATCCAGTGGACCCCGGACACCAAACAACTTCATTTTTAGTGTCCAAGTCTGGGGCTATTAAATTTTTCCTTTGATTTGTAATTAGCGCAAAATGCATATTAAATAGCCAAACGACAGCAGTGCCGTGGAAGTGAGGCAGGCAGGCTACTTTTCGGCTACTTTGCCATGGCAAAAATAATCAATAATGCGGGTGCCAGCCCGCTGCAACATTAAGTCATTGAGTTGAAATTATTTATGCAACATTTATTACGCACACAAACACACGCAGCACACTCGGGCGTGCAGGAAAAGTTTCTGCAAGTTGTTTGTTGCATTGTTTTAGGGTTGTTGCCGCCGCCTCCTGACTCCTGACTCCTGCCTGGGTTGCTGCCCCTGGGGGTGTGTGGCAGTACGTGCAATTTTCTTAAAAATTACACACGATTACACATGAAAATACAATGCCTGATATATTATGCAAAGAGCAAGGGTTGGGCTAGGCATCGAAGTTTTGAATTTGCAAGAAAGAAATTCAAGTGGAAACAGCACAGAAAGATTGTCTTTTAAGGCACGCAAACATTGGCAGCTACAAGATAAGGATAAGGATTCCGTTCTTGGCAGCCTTACAACTGAAAATATATTCAAATAATTAAATTTATAACTGGCCAGCAGCGTGTACTTTTGTATATGCCCCGCCCAAAAAGGGTATAATGAGCGCTTGTTGGGGGCCATGGCTGAGTGCAGTGCTAAGGGCTAAGTGCGGACCAACCTCAAGCACCGTCCGTCCGCCTGTCCGTTGAACAATGAGGCACTTGCAATCTGGTCAGTGGACTATGGCCAGCAATCCCTATTATACTGTTCGATTACTCAAGCACGGTAGCCGCTTACCGACCATTCATTCATTCCTGCCTCTGTATGCATATTCTCTCCACTCAAATCATTAAAAATATAATAATAATAATAATGAAATTTGCGTGATTCAAGCAGAGCACGCACTAGGCGATGCCAATAACGGCAGCAACAACAACGATTGCCAGTGGCATGCGGGGCAACAGCGGCAGCAACAACAATAAACATGTGCAACCAAACGCCCCCAGAGGATGAGAGCAAAGCAACAAAATACAAAAAAAAAACAAAAAATAACCCGGAAAGGAAGTCAAAGTCATGCCCACAGTCTGGAGCTGAAAAATCAACCCTCTCATAGCGTGAGTCCTGCGACCAGCACACACCCACACACACCCACACACACCACACACACCACACACACACACAGTCATTGTCCTTAATGCGCCGCGTAATGAGTTATTCGCATTTTTTGCCCCGTTTTTGCTCGCTGCTGCTGCCCCCGCGTCGATCGCCAGCATTTGGCGATTTTAATTCATTTAGAAACGGAAATATTAACGATGGCAAAATAAGGGAAGGCCGGGGCCTTGTCGATGGTTAAATGAAAGCGAACTTCAAATGTGCTACAGGAGATACACAAATACCATAGTGTTATAAGTAGTTTAGAACCCATTTTCAACTTAAATATTAATTCTCAAAAATCTCCCTTTTGTTTCAGCACAAACAGCAACGAATATGCGAGGAGCTCGACACTGAGCAGTGGCTGCTTGAATGTTGCATGTCCCGCGCCGTGTTGCAGTTGTATAA